AATTACTGAAAACAATCTAGTATGGAAATCTTGGTAATTTGAATTACTTGTCTTGCCTATTATAACCTGCCTTTCAATCCTGTTCCTGTCGTTTGTTTCTGTTTGTCAGCACCTTCATGAAAATCCTCTAGATTACAGGCAGAACATTAAAAGGTCTTTGTTTTTTTAGGCTTTTTTCAGAGATGTAATTGGTATTACCACATTGATTCAGTCTGTAGGTATTTTTCTTTACTTATGTCATTAGATAATTTTACTTATGTTAATAAGCTACAAATTCCTTCTAACAGATTTCTTTGTTTTCTATGTATAATGTATGATATAGTTATAATGTGATGGTGTTGTTGGTATTAATTAGTAAATTACGTCAATCAAAATACTTCAACATATACAGTATTAACCTTTCATAGCACTAATGAGTCTGAGGAAAGACCTGCAACAAGGAATTTGTTCAATTTCTTATATTTTTAAGAAACAAAAACGAAGATTGTAGTATTGAAGGTTCATGTATCAGTGCTGTGTATGTGTGAGTAAGCTTTATGCAGTACATCAGTATAGAAATGTAGGTCATCACACCTCTAGGCAAGATGTAAAAAGTACAGAAACTTAAAGAAAGAGACTTGCAAGGCTAATAGTTGTTCTTCTAGCTAATAAGAAAAAAACATTGTCAATGTGTTGCATTGTAAGGCACAAACAAATGTTTCTATGCTTACCTCTTTCAATTCAAATGCTGGAATTGTTAGTGAAATGAAGTATTACACTGTCTTAGAACATATTTTTTATTTCAACATTTAGAAAAACCCACTGTTAAGACCAATGTTCCTGATATCTCTCATAAAACATTACTCTAATTGAGAGATTAATTTATTGCTTTGACAATATGTAACAGCTGTGGTAGTGGTTTGCAGATTACACTGTTTCGGAACAAGCAGTGGGAGTCAAGAAAGTGAACATTTGTCAAGGAGCGTGTTCTTGAGTTCCATCTATTAATTGTTACTAACTTTAAATTCACATAATTAAACAAGTTATTCAAAATCATGTGAAACCTGCCTGAAAGAGAAATGCATTCAGTATGGCTTGTTCTCTGCAGATACCAAGTTTCTGTCCACTGCTTTTGTCTCTGCTATAAAGTCGAAGCAAACAGGCTTTGTATCTCTGGCTATTGTTTGTCTCTTTCCCCGGGTTTTGTGTCTTCCTTAATAATGGGAAGTGCATTGTAATGCTTTATTTCTGGCTGATGATGAGAATTACGGTCTTCCTTATTCTGAAACAGAAGTGGCTGAGGAGAATGTCACCATGTGCTGAACATTTATATTTTGATTTATTATTACAGAAATGATAACAATTAAAATTCACCTCACACATTTCTTTGAAGGATATCCTAGCTGTACTTGAAAACGGTGCTTAAAGCAACTGTGTTGCCTTTGCCATTGTTTTAAAACACAGCACGTAATGCAATATAGGTCACCTAATGCAATAAAGAGAGCCATTTACCATACTGTAATGCGGAATTGTGATCTCCAAAGCAGTACATTAGCTTCTGTACTTAGCTTCCACACAGTGGGGGAAAGAAAATTGCTTTGTTTTGAGTCACTGTGCCATAGTGTGAGAGTGTGTATTTAATGAGTGTGATATCTGTCCATTGATTCAGTGTTATAACCAGTGATTATAAACGATTCTAGAAAAATAAACTTTCTTGAGTTATCTTTGGATTTTATGAAAGCCTTTGACAATTGGGGTGGCGTGACGGTGCTTTAGGCGATGCTGGGTTCAAATACTGCATCTGTCTGTTTGGAGTTTGCATGTTCTCCCCAAGTGTGAATGCATTTTCTGGTGTTCGAGTTTTAATTCCACAGTTCAAACGCATACTGTCCAGGTTCAGTTGCAGCTCTGAATTGCCCCCTGTAAATGTGTGCAGGCCCTGCTTTTGAACTGGCATGCTAACTAGGGTGTAGTCTTGTGCCCCTTGCCTACTCTGGCTCACTGTAGCTAATTGGATGGATGGCAATTGTATGTTTTTTGGATGCAAGGCGTAAGTTCACATTACAATATGTTCAGTTATTTTTTTTTCTTTTTAATTTTGGGAAAAAATTATGTAGTTTCTGTGATGCTGGAATGAGTGTATGAAGGTTTTCCTGTATTTAGTTTTAAATGCCAAATTATTGCTTAACATTTTGAATTTATTTTACAATATTTGCCTTCTTGAAAAAAGAATGATTAAAAGCAAGCAGATGGCCCTTTTTTATTATTAGAGAAACTGTGTTGATTTTCATTTTATTTAAATGCATAGTTCATGAATGCTAAATGTCTTTTCCTTTGAGGCAGTTTTCTGACTCAGTGGAATCCTTTTGTTTTAATATTTCATTGGAATCAATACATAAGATCTATAAAAAGGGGAAAAACAGTGACAGATTTATATTTTTTGAATAAGAAGCTTACAGAAAGAATGATTTTAAAACAGCAGGCTGAGGGCTCTGTTCCTAATTTAATTAAAAGAAAGACTGTAGCCAGAGACATTATCATTCTCCAAGGCAGACCACTTAGTATGATTTGTCAAGAGAGAATGATATGCAATATGAACATCTTAAATTGCTGTGAAGCAAACTGAACATGTGAATGTATTTTGTTATAAAACACTATACTGTAAAAAATGTTTAAAAGAAAACGTAATCACTTTGAAGTATAATTGTTTTCAGATTTTGTTCTGGAATTTGTTTTGAATTTTTCTTCTAAACACATAGTTGTTTCTCATTACTTGTTTTGTTGCTATAACTTGTGCTGATGTAAAACTCAGACATGTAGGTTGAATAACTGTGTTTTTTGTTGATAATATTATCCTACTATTTGTAATGAAGTTTGTGCCTAAGAGTTTGAGTTCAACTGTAGTCACATTATACATTCAAGTCTAATACCCTTTTGTAAAAGATTATTAGGTTTTGTATGGAAATAGAATGGTATTGACAGATGTGTTTGGGAGGACACTTCAATCTGTAAAGCAGTCTAAAGATCAGTTATATGAAGGTAGTTCACTTTTATGTGCGTATTAACCAAACCTGTCCCACACAAGCTCAGTTGGGGTAGTTTCTAAACAATGTAACTGACCAGTGCTTGGCAGGTCTTCAGTGAGTCACTGAATCCTTCTGCCCAGAATGACAACAGGAATGACTGTTTTATTGTTTCTAAAGCCATTGGCAAATATTAATAATTTAGAAAGTAGTGGTTAATTGACCAAAATGAAAACCCAACGTTTTAGCTTCAGAGTCTATTATAAAAACCTGAAGCAGGCTCTGAGATCTGAAAGTTACTTCTGTTCATTTTGCTTTTCAGCATGGAATCACATCCTCAACTTACTTCTTTTTAGCTCACAGTATTATTAATTTATTTGGCTGATGCTTTTATCCAAAGTGACTTATGGATGTTACAGTTACCTGCATTCATTTTTTTACTGTATGTTAAACATGGAGGAGTCAGGAGTCTAGCATCTTAACCATTTCTTCTCTTCTGAATACAGCTGAAACTGCAATAATAAAATAGCTTTCAAAGGAAGTGAAATTGAAGTTTTGCAGATCAGTAATTTGAATTCTAAACATTTTTTTAACAGAGATATACAATGCTATTTGGCATTCCTGTTCATCATGAGTTACTGAGATTTTTTTCTGGGGCAAAAACCAGTGATTTCCCAGTACTGCAAAGTGTAGTTTTGCATGTTTAAGAGAGTGATACCATTAATTGCATTTTAAAGTAACTGTGGCATCATCGGTGGCTTATCAAACCTGATAAATATTTCATTACAAGGAGCCACATTCCTCTTTAATATTTAGACAATTTTAATTTAACAGTTTGTAAATTAGATCTTATCTGTTTCTGTGGTACCTGAGCATGTAAAATATTAAATGATGCCTTACTAGTCATGTGTGCTTTACCAAAAAATATATAAGGATGGTATAGTTGCTTGATCTTTATCTTTAAACCCATTTTTTAAAATTCAAAATGACGTCAGCCATTAAAAGGTTCAGGTGTTGCGCTCATCTGTTAAATTGGATGTAGGTGGATCTGATTAATGCAGTGACATGAGTTAATCTACAGATGTTTTATAGTTTTATTTGTCCACAAACATTTTTTTTTTCTCCAATTAATTTTTTGAGACTTGAAAAACTGACAAAATGCATGCATTTATTTTAAAATTCATTTATTCAGTGGTAATATAGATTACCACCGAAGACAGACAAGCTATAGCATCTTTGATATTCTCAAATGAATTACAACAAGCAGCTTGCCTCACTATCTCAGCAGTGCTTGTCATTCTGTTTTCGAAGTGCCTAGTTATAAAATCACTGGTCCCCTCATTTCAGTCCATAAAGCCTAAGTTACCTACCAGGTGTACTTCTACTTGAAATTACTTTTTTTTTATTTTATTGCTTTTATTGCTTAAGCCTCCATCTCAGCAGTGCCAACTTTTTTGGAGCGTCTTTATTGGTTTTTCAGAAAAAAAAGTGCTGACACAGATGTTTTTTCACTCTGATCATGTAATTTTTGCTACAGGCTGCCAGGCAGTTTGTTACCATTATCAGTCATATCCTTGCTTCAGAACCACCTTTTCAGTATGAACAGCCATCCCTTCTTGCCATGAGATCTGCCAATGTGATATTGTTCGATATTAGAAAATGGGGAAAAAATGGTTGTCATCTGCATAATTTTGTAAGACAGTTAGCCCGGGCAATGCCAGATGTTTGCCCTGTTTGTAGCTTTGCCTAAATATGAAGAATCTTAAGATCAGTAACACAGTACCAAATAATTATAATGTCCAGTCTGTCTTGTGTGGGCCAAAATTCCAGGGTGAAGTTGTGAATGAAGCTCAAATTACACGATTGTGTTCACGTTGTTAATTCTCATTACATCAAGTTCACCATCTGTGCCTTGTAGCATAGAAGTCAAATGTGAAATTGAGTTATTGATTTTTGTGACAGAGATTTCATTGGTTTTCTACTCTTTTTTTCTTTCAGGGTAGCTTCGTTGCCAGCATGACAGCCACCTTAAGACAAATGGAAGAGTATCATTACGCTCATTTGATCAGCACCTTCGGCAAGATGAGGACTGATGTTGTGGTAAGTGAACATATGCTTCAGTAAACAGTTAGGAGATTTATTTATTGATACTGCTGTGGAAAAGCTGGTTTATGTTGTGACCCTTTAGTGAAAATAACTGCTGCATTATAAGTGCTTAAACAGTATTCCGGTATCATATTGCCTTAGTTTCCTGGCTTGCAGTTTCTTACTTGAAAATCACCCCCCCCCCCCACACACACACAAAACAAATCATACTTAAAGCAATGTATGCGGATTGAATATTCAGCTTCATAGCTGTAAGTTTATCATGAAATCTGATTGTGAAAACATGCCTGACAATCCTCATCATGTAAGAGCTGCCGACAGAGATGAGCTGAGAAAAAAGAAGGGTTTTTGATGGATGGGGTAAAAGCCGGAAAGAGACAGAACCAGCCGGAATGGTATTTAAATAAAGAAATTTGTTTCTTGCAACAGCTGGGAGAGTTAAAGGCAAGTAAGTGAAGTATTTTGAGGATTAATTGTGATGATGCTTAAATTTACCAAATCCATTGCATGCTGTCTTTACTTCGCCAATTCTGTTTGACTGAATAGTCTAATTAGGAAAATACTGGAATTTAAGGTTCTTTAGATAATTCAACCCTATGGAAAGTGTTCTCTTATTAGTGAAAAGGGCATAGGATTTTAAATAGCAAACATTTCTGATACAAAACTATTCTTCAGTGATGTAAAACTAAAGAAATTGATCAAATGGATGGCATAGGACTAAGGGTCTGGTTAAATCCGTTATTACTCTGTAATAACAAATAGGAAAGTAGATATATTGTTGTACCACAACATTTGTGTCCAAATCCATGTTAACAAATTGAAGTAAAAGATGAGTTTGTAATAAAGCTTTAAAGATTTAAGGTACTTAGTTTACCTATGTACGTAATGTTGAAACATACAATGTGTTTTACTGTTTAAAGAAAATACTGCTATAACCTACTAACACCCTGGTGTTATTTTTAATGTGCTTAAGATTGGATTGCAGAGCAGTGTGCTTGTTTGCATCTGTTAAGGAATTGATTATTAATGCAAATCTAGTGGACAAAAGAATAACTTAGAAGAAGACTTGGAATATTAAATTTCGCTGCATTATTGTACACATACATTAAATTAGTTTTTTTTTTGTTTTCTGGAGAAAAATTAAGTTGTTAAAAAGTAGTTTGCAGGCACATAAACAATGTACTGTATATGCCACAACTACTGTTTTAACTTCAGTAAGAAATTATCCAGGCTTAGGCCTGTTTAGCCCATTCTTGTTAATGCAAAACAAAGTTTCTCTAATCTTTGTAAGAATAGAACATGAGTCATAATACACGTGCCTTGCATAGTACTGCTACTGTATATGTGGTGGCTGACCAGAAATGTTCAAATTTAGGTAGCTGAAGAATAGCTGTTACTTTCAGACTTATTTTCTGGATCTTGGGGGGGGAAGCAAGTCATCTATAAGCAAAAAATAATTTTATAAAATACATAATTATATCCACCTACATTTTTGAAAAAAGAATAATCTGAAGACCTAAAATATGCAGTCATCTCATGCTTAAGGATATTTTTGTACCACATTTACTCTTTGTCTTGTCATGTTAGCAAGGGAAAATTGCTTTTTTACTCTCCTTTTAAATTGGTCTCCTTTAGACTTCTGCTCTTCAGACATTATTGAATTGAATGCTTTTATTACCAGTCTGTGGTATGGTATTGTATTTTTCTGTTTTTGCATCACAAAACAATACATGTCTGCAGTAAATGACAGAGTGGACATTATTTGCTTTCCTAGTAAGTTGCTGCCATTAATGTTATTGATCATAAACTTTGGTTTGTTTCCAGACTAAAATTCACTGTGAAGCTAGTTTGAGCCTTAAGCATGCAACTGTCTTCCAGTAGTGAACCACCCTCGTAACATTAATTTTCTTGAATTTGCTTGATTATTCTATTTCAATAATTGCTGGTTTATATACAGTATATAAATATTCATTCTAATGAGGAAAGCTGGAAACTATTTAAAAGTTTTGATTAACACCTTGAGCTTTTTAAACTCCCATTAAGTCTGGCTCAGGTTTGTGTGATGGGAAATAAGCTGTTCAGTACAGATGCCTGTAACCTAAAATAACTTGTATTTCACACTGTATTTTCTCCTGATCTTGATAATGGAAAAAACAGTTCTCATGGGTCTCAACACTTCAGGCTTCTCTCAAGTATTCAACACTTTTCATGATTCAGTGGAGTTTTCATATGACATATAAAAGATAAGTTAATTCATTAGTGAACAAAAATCAGTTATTAATTTTAAGGAACTTCAAAATGACAAGAACGCGGTTCTAATATCCTAATCACAAGATTGATTAGATAAATATTCTGTAGAAAATACTTCCATTATTACTTTAAAGCTAAACATGCATGGGAATGTGATAACTACAGTTGTGTTTTTTATAGCATTGACATAACAGATTGTTTAAAAATAGTATAGGTGTTTAGTAAACAAAATGTGACCTGTGAAGTGCACCTTGCTTAATTTTTGGTACACAACCTGGGCCATTTACTGAACATTGATTTGGAGACTTTGGTTAGAGAATACTGAAAATGTTAGTAATACCTTAGACAAAGTCACTGAATGTCAACCACAGCACAACCACAGTTTGCAGTAAGTAGGCCACAGCAGTTATTATAATATGTTAAGAACATTGCTGGAATAAAGGATGCAGAATTGAATATGTGAATGTTTACTCTTGTCGGAAAACTAAGTAAACACAGTTTACTGTTCCTCATATCTTTGATTGACAAGAGAGTAATGACTCTCTTAATCCTTAGTAGGGATGTTTCACTCTTTATGAAGTAGGCATGCTTTCCAGGTGATATTCATGACATTGCAGTGTCACAGACCATTTATCATTCCAGATAGATGCATTATATTCATACGTGGAAAGGTTTTCAAAAGGAGTTTAGAAATGAACTTACAAATGTGACCTGCTCTCCCAAAACTTGCTTTCTGAAGCAAGAGTTACTTTTTTTTAAATCATGCTAATTTGTTCTTGCAAATTTAGACTTCACAAGGCCATATCTGTAAGATTAACAAAGCAGAAATATTGCCTGTCTGTTTTAAGCTCTCCTTTAGTAAAAAAAATATGAGAATTGACCTTGAAGACCCTGGTTTTAGGAGAGTTGCTCACACAGAGTATTAAAAAAGGCTTTTTAAAATTCACACACTTTCAAATAGTCAAATTGAATTCTTCAATTTTTCATGGGGATGAAAAACTACATATGCGGACTCGCTTTGTATCAGGAATTGGGCGAGGGATAAGATACAATATGTGACATTCTCAGTCAGGGTAAATCATTTTCAAGCAGGTTTATAAAAGAAAATAAATGCATGTTTGTTGTCCACCTTAAACCTTGAAAACCTCCAAATACCCTCTTTTTATTTACTGAGCTTTAAACCTTTTGGAGTTTTGTTGTAAAATGTTCTTATCATCCAAGTGTGAAAATTACAGTCTTCATTTCAAAGGTTTCTTTTCCTTTTAGGATTTTCTGATGGAAACATTTATCATGTTCAAGGATCTCATTGGAAAGAATGTCTACCCTGCCGACTGGGTTATAATGAACATGATGCAGAATAAGTAAGTACAGGGCAACAGCTCTGAATCTGTGCACAGACATCTTAATGCTGCGTTTGATCTTTCATAACTGTGGTTGCTTAGGAACAAGACTTCCAATGTACAAGGAGAGTTCCTATATTTTATTTTAGTACAAATAACTAAAATCATAATGTTTTATCATAATCAAGACATGGAGGTTGCCATAGAATAATACTGTATAATCATACTAGTAAAGATATTTCCAAAGTTTTGAATGATTCATTTAATTTATTATTTTGTATTCATCCTTCATTCTATAGATATGATTATTAATGCATGTTTAGCTAGTCTGTTCAGTGAATATTTTTTTAGCTTTAATTAACAGAGCAAGAGTGGACAAAAGCACAGTGGAATTTCTTATTACTGAGCTTGCAGTATTGAACTGGATGAGGGTATGAAGTATGAGTACATACAGTAGATTACAGTTGTGAGTTATATGTGCTTTCCATGAAGGACTGTGCTTGATTGACTGGGGCAAAGTCGGTTCTCTACTTGTTTTAGAATACCATCTTGCAATAGGAAGAAGAGAGCTGTTGCAGACATATGGTGATTTCCATACCTAATGCACATTTAATGGGAATTTTGGAATAACTCAATTAGCAGTCTGAAGAATGATCACAGGAACATTTGAGCTTGTGTAATGCTCCAAAAAAAGAAAATATACCAAATCTGATAAAAATAAAGAGTGGTTGTTTTTTTGTCTGTAAATGTTCTTCACATCATAAAGACCTCTTAACAATAATCACTCGTGATTATACATAATCATGTTATTTTTATTTTGAGTGTTCCTTTGCAAATTTGCAGTTCCAATTCAGTGTCTAGTGCTGTGTTGTGTTAATCTCACACTGGAATGTTAGCTGAAAATCATCTTCAATATTCAGTCATCAAGTCTCATTTTTTTAAATGCTAAATTTAATGTTCTTAAATTATAAGTCCTATGATTTCATTCAGTTCTGCTCATTAATTGATTCTAAATAGATTGCATATAAAACTCATACTATCACTTAATGAGAACTCTAATGTATGGGTTTCATTTGAGCTTTATGTAATGAATTATATAGAGGGAGTCTCTTTGCAATACATTTTAGATGAGTATTGTTTAGTTAAGAAATCCAATATTGGTTGCACTGGATGCAACAATATAACAAGCAAGAAAAACAATAATCTTTTTAAAAATTAGTGTGTAATTTACTTTTCTTTTGCATTGGGTTTCAGATGCATGTGACTACTTTTTAGATCATTTTATAAATGAAATTTGTGTATTGAGTGTTTTGCATTTTGATTCAAGGCCTGCGATTACAGTTGTAACTCATAGATTTGGTATGTCCATGAGACCAGCAACACCATGGCCATTTTCAGGCCTGGTTTCTAAGATCACCAAGGAAGCAGGACCTTGTACTGTATATACTGTTGTGAGAACATTAGGGAAATCAAACTTTTATTAAACTAAACTTTTGTTTCTTTGTTTTGGTTTTTCTCATCTCTTATTATCTTTTATAAAGGTGAAATGAAATCATTTCCACAGTAATTACTCTGTTCTAAGATTTAGGATCAGATCTTCTGTTGGAGATGAGGCTTTGTTGCTATACCTCCAAGCACAGTACAAAAGTCTAGGAACTTGTAATAATTTGAAAGACAGCCTTAGGTCTTGTGATAAAGAAGAATAGAGATTATTGCCTGATTCACTTCAGAATGAATGTCAGTTCTATTGAGGGCTTTTCAGTCTTTAGTTTCCAAGTCCCATTTGTTCTGCAATTTTTTTTCAATTGACTGCAAGCTGTTTCAGGGGTGTGTGCAGGGAAAAGGGAGTACTGTGGACAGAGCTCCTCATCAGTGGCATTTATGATTACAAAATCTAACAAAAATATCCCAGCACACAATTACCACAAAATACAATTTTAAAATAATATCTAAATGGGCAGACCAGCCTATAAACCAGGGGGTTTGTGTGCCCTAGCTGAAAATTAAACTGCATATAGTAGGTCTGAAACAAGTTTTGGACATTTGTTTTTGTCCTTATGGCCTTGGTGGCTCTGCTCCAAAATTTGCTCTGCATGGTTTCACATGGGTAGGCTCCTAATACCTAGATTTTAAAAAGACATTTCATTTTTTTTTAATAACATACTGCATTCTTAAAAGCATTCTTGATCCATTATTAAAAACATAACACTAAACCTCTTGTGAATTTCAGAATTGTGAATTATTTTGATTTTTTTTATTCCCGTGGGACCACAGTGCCTGCTGGTTTTCATTCCAGTTGAGCTCTGAAATTTCAGTGTTAATTGATTACTGTCATTGATCTGTTTGCTTGTTTAGACTTTGATTAACTTGTTTTTTGCACGCAGAGTTTCAGAAATACCATAGTTTACTATGTTTCTGATAGCGTCAGCATACAGAACTTTAAATAACTTCTTTTCAGTTTACTTACTACAGTAGTTACCCTTTTTCTGCCACACTCCCTCAGTTAGCATTTTATCCTTCTGCAGAGGTCAAATTAGTTACATTTCAGGCAATGTGTAAATGAGGGCCATTCTGAAATTTAGAAATTGGTATCGTACCAAATACACATCCTATTCAACTCTTTAACACCTAATAAGAATATGCCCTGAAATCTGATAGGAATCAATGACTTACACTACTGTTGTAATACCGATAACTAATTGACCATTAAATTCAGATTCATTAAGATTTATTGTGCAAAATATAGTGTCAAATCACTGTGTTTCAGTCATACACTAGACTCAGGATGCTTTACTTTAAAAAAAAAAAAACATGAAACCAGGTTACCTAAGCTGTAAAATGATTTGTTTTTCCAGATTTAATTATTTAACTGTAGTGATTTGTATGAATTCACAGTTTTTATTAAATTCTCCTTTACCTGCTGTGGCTGCAGGGCATTTACACAAATTGAGAAGTGGTTCTATCAGACGTTAGTTCAAAAGGTTTCATATTAAAATATATTTGTAAGAATAATAAGAAATAATTGTAAAAAAGTAAAATGTCTAGGAATATACAGTTACTTTGACCACACCCATACCCTGGATAACACACTAGAACAGTGTTATTTGGGGAGATGTTTTGAATGATTTGCATTTCTACTGCAGTTTGTACAAGATTATTTTCCTAATATATTTAAAAGACAAGACTTTGTATTCTTTAATGCTGGACTGTCCACTCATGGACATTAAGAGACAAAGAGTTTAAGTTTTCATTCCAGATGATCTCTTGAGTTACATTACTGGAACAACTGGTTTCTTAATGAAGAGAGGTTATTGTACTTTTCAGATCTTTGCTCGCTGACCATTTAAGGCTACCTATCAAACCCATAGGACAATGGCTGGTCAAGACCAGGTTCTAAAATCCCCACTTCTTGAAAACAAGTCTTCAGGCATGAGAAAGAAAACAATCACAGCAGTGTCTAAAGAGTAACATATTTCTCTCATTCAGTTATAAAAATGAAAATACTGATTCATTGTGTCAGTGGAAAATGCATCATTCCTATGTCAAATGAATGCCTGGCCAGTATGTAATCTTTTGATACCTGAGATCTGTAATAGTATTTTCTGTGTGAGCCCCATGAAATTAACTTAGTATATCGTCTCTCTAAATTCACCCTTGGGCTATAAGTATTTAGGAAGTGTATTTTTTGCCTGTTGGTTACAGGGATAGTCTAAAAAGGATGAATGTTCTTTATTTCTTTTACTGCTGCTTTCAAAAGTGTAGACTTACTTTTTAGTTTTACTTCAGTAGATCCAGATAAGAATCAGAATCTACATACAGTACAGTGGAATTTTTCCTTTAGCCTGATGGAAAAACAAACAAACAATATCAACAGTGTATATACAGAGTACATAAAACATTCACTGGATTCAGTGGATGCATACAGTCAATGTAATGTAGCAGCATACAATACACTACAATACAAAAATATAAGACTCAGGTGTGAAGCATAAGATATGCTGTCAATGCAATGCTCTGAAGGTGGCTCATACATCAGAGTTTACAAGATTAACAACTCGAAATGAATGACTTAAAAATCAACCTTTTAATATGAATTGTGTGTGCAGAGGGCAGTCGTGATTACTGTTACTTCTGACAGTTTGATATCACTATGAGATATTAAGGAGAAAGATTGTTTGCATTTCTAGAAATTTAAGGACTGAATTTCTCTAATGAAGAATGAAGAATACTAAGATTCTGCTGGGTGCTGTTGGGGACATGGTGTTCTAATACAAAGTTAGTGGTCTCCCAAAATATATATTTTCAGGAAATAACCTACATGACTATGTGGATGAAATATATTTTGTAGTTTTCTACCAGAAGAGCTATGATTGCTACAAGCAGAGTTCTCGCAAGGCTTGATATTGAAATTTATATAGCCTTTGAGTTAACATTTTTGGCCACCTGTGTCAAAATGCAAAAAGAAAAAAAGATTGTGATGAGATTGCTGTGTGCCTGTGGGTGTAGATAAATCACATCTGTTTTACTGGAGATGGAATCACTGTATTAATTCAAGGGAAGGGAAACAATCAGGTTGTACACAGGTAGTGTATTCAGTTTTTAATAGTTCATTCAGAGGAAAAATAGATTTAATTAAGTGTACATTTCTTTATTCAAAATATACATCCTTGCACTTCCATTCCTCCATAGTATGTACAGTATGTTTTTACACGTACCTTTATAAAAATATTTAGATACATATCATTCTTAATCATTTAAAATTTAGATCCTTTTTTTTCAAGTTGGAGTTTTACTATACAGTACCTTTCTTATCTGATGATCCATATAGATTTGTTTAAATGATGAAAAAATGTAATTTTCTGAAATGTGATATACAGTATCAACATTTTTTATCATTTGTTTTCTTGCACAGTGTCTATTCATTTTCACATCACAGTTTCTTCTAGCCTGTGATTTCATGTAGATGTATCATACATTAATTTAATCAGAACAGGGAAAGCTACATCCTGTAAGGATAAAGT